ACACCAAACTTCCTTCTAGGTTTGATTTATGGCATGAGAATCAAAAGTGACTGCAATCCTTTAATGCAACACTCGTTCTGGATGTAATGCAACACTTGAGCTGTGGGCAAGTTCTGGATCTCAGATCACAGCAATATTACTGCCTGATATTAGTACTGGTAATAACATCTTCACATTACAGTACTTGGGACCAAGAGGATTTTATTTCTTCACGTAGTGAAGCTTAAGAATAATTCTGCATTATCAACAAATCATATCCTCCAATGTTCTTTTCATCCCCATCCTCTCTCCTGAGCTGAGGGTACTGAAGAGAAATCCTAGAAGTAGTACTTCAATAGTTATCCGCCAGGAAATACACCTGATTTAAAGCTCCAATTCATGGAGTTGGGCAAGGCAAGATGGGAAAATAACTTTCAGAAGCAAGAAACAGGTTTATCTTCCATTAGAAGGAAAATTCATTTCTCGTATTTACATATCTGAAATGAATAATTCCACAAACTTTAAACATAAATACTGTAGTTCTGGTGCTCATACAGTTCATACAGGAGCAAACTGTGAGCTGACCCTCCTCTGAGCAAGAAACCAGAACAGCAGAACTCCTGACATCCCTTCCAAACTGAGCAGCTCTGCACTTCAGTGAAAGTACCATAAGAAATCCCTAGAGGTAAAAAACTAAAAAGAAAATAGAGAAAAGGTATTAAGGTGTAAAGGTACTCCTGTGCCTGAACAAAAATTACAAGTAAACACAAGAGATGAAGCATTATTGAGACTGAGCAACTGCAGCACAGGTACAAATGAGTAAAACTTTGTTTAATTTGAATGTTTTAAAGTGACAAAACTCATCAATTACTATTTGTCAATAAAAATCTTATGTTTAACAGTGCAGTTAACTGTAAAGAATTTGAACTAATTTAGAATTTCATGGAAAGAGAAATAAATATGTCCTTTCTCTATTCCTAATTATCTGAAGTAATCTCTTGTTTGTCCATTATAATTAATGGACAAAATCCTTATTTCAGAATTTTAAACAAAAAAGCCACTGAAGACCACAAATAAAACACTGCCTGCTACACCAGCTCACAGGAGCTTCACATAGCTAAAATACACCAAAATGCCACCACCTGCCACACAAACCCTGTAAATGCTACAGGCAAGGTGAGAAGCTCTTCTGGATATTCAAGGTAATCATCATTTCTCAGCCTGAGAACTCAAAGCATTGCCTCCTAAAACTACTGAAATCATTTATTTTGTATCTTAACTAGCAATGGAAATATGAAAGAGCAATAAGATAATTAGCAAAGAGCTTTTTTTTTTTATTAATTAAAATATCAAAATTCCAGGTCTGTTGGTGTTGAAAGGGGAAATGCCATGGGCAGGGCAAAGTGCCAGCTGAAATCCTCTTATCTGATAACTCTCACTTACACTGTACTACTGATGTGTTTCAGCACAGTCTAAACAAGAGTCCTTCAGAGGGTTTTCCCAGATTGGCTTCTTCACATATACTGACACATTTGTTCCTGTCAAACACTTTTCAAAATATATTAAGCTAAAAATTGTAATAGTCTCAATTGTTTCATGCGCTCATGAGCTTACACCTAAAGAGAAGCTGTGCCATGGGGCTTTATTTTGCTACCACTTAACTTCCAAAAGTCAATCTTTAGAACCAGTACTGACTTATAGGAAATTTCACTCCTTCCCTCTAAAGAAGTCCTGTTGCTTTCCTTGTAAGAAATTAAACCTTAACACCATTATTTGCACACTTTTCACATAACCACCATCTTAAAAATTCAGTTCAGAGACTGTTATCCTTACAAGAACACACACACACAAAAGAACACCAAAACCAAGGAGGAAGAGCTGAGCAGTAGATTTCAATTTCCAGAGTTTTTAAGTTACACAGTTTAAAAAAGCTGCAAACACAAAACACTGCATGAAACACAAAGCAATTATTTTTTGTTGGGTTTGACAGCCACAAATAAAAACACAGAACTGCACACTTACCAAATTTTAAAAAAGCATGCGCAGATGAGGTTCTGTCATCATCCAAACTGGCCATTTCAAATTGGTGCAGCTAATCACAAACGTCTCAGGCTAAGCTACAGCAATTTTCAAAACTGTTTAGTAAATGTTAAAGGCAACCAGCATTAAATTAAGTGAAAGCAATGTTAGTGGAATTATTAAAATGACAGACTGTTCAGAGCACAAAGGGTAGTACCATTTTGTTATATTTTATGCTTTCCCTCTTCCACTGTACAAATCATTTTTATTTTTCCTCCAATAAAACTTAACTAAGTAAAATGGCACAGGCTACACAAACTCCATCTTTTGGACATTCCACAGAAAATTTTTTTGTTTCATACAAAAACTGCTACTAAAATCCATAGATGATGAATAAGATCTATATTAAATATCTCAGGATTGTATAAAAACGATTAATTAATACATATAAAAGCGTAAAGCAAAACTAAGTGCAGAGCTAAAATTCTGCTTATGCATAGTGTTGCCTTTATCTACATGGAATTTACATTGGGATGCTCCTTTCAGTCATACATTGCTTATTGTACTGAATGTCTGTAACCTGATGTAGAACTGCCAGTTGGAAGGTACATTAAGAAAACACCACTTGAAGCCAACATGACAAGTTGTTCCAAATCCTTAAAGCAGCTTATGCTCTTTACATTAGCTACAGTTTCAGAGGTTGCAGGCTAGACAGTTTGCTGAACACCATTACAATCTGCTTCTGTTAATTATCAGTAGCAACAAATGATACAACACTTAATCACTTTGGGAAGAAAAAAATCTCAGTAAAGCTTGTTTCTACTGGCCAAAATGTAATTCAGGTTTTAATATACATAAGCATTATCTCCTACAGGACTGGGTCTTCAATGATACCTTTCTCCCAGTTGTGAAGCGTGAAGCACTCATGCATTTAACACACATGAGCCCTAACAGATAGATAGGTTCCATACTTATTTACCTTACTCCCAGCACCACATTAAAAATAGAAGCAGTGCTGTTAGTAAACTGGGACTCAGCATAGATTTCACTCAACTCAGGGCAGGCTGGGGGCACTGCAGCCGCTCCCCATGACAATAACAGCCACAGTCCTTCTGACTGCCAGAAATTAAGCGTGAGAGCTTTTAAGCTACATACATTTCTGAACAGTTATAAAAAATGTAGGAGTAAATTTGAGGAACAAGAACATGACTTTTATTCTTAGGTTAGAATGTTACCTGAACTAGAACATAGAAAATTTAACTTCAGAACCAACTCATTTATCAGAAAGATGTTTATACTAAAATCAAGTTTATTTATTCAGTAAATAAATTTATTCCGATTCTAAGTGACAAAACCTCTGAACAGGAAAAGAAGCAACTGAACTCCAATAACAGCCTATCACTACAGCAGAAGAGACTTTCATACACGTTTAATTAAAAAGCAGAAGGTAGCAGCAAAGAAAATGTCAAGCATTTAAAATCAGCCAAATGCCTACAGCAGCAGAGCCCATTGTGCACAGGGTCCCCCAGCCAGCACACAGCCCTCAGAGTGACTCAGGGTTCACACACTCAAGCACACAGGACCCAGGCTTTATCTTGTGCTCTATGGCTATGTTCACAAATCAGTTTGCAGACAGCAGCACTGTGTAATCTGTATTGGCTGTCACATAACGATTCATCCCATGGGCATCCTTTAATAACGGTAGCTTGAAGATCAGTACTATGCATAAGTAGAATATGTAAGTCCCATCCATGCCAGCATTCTGTAATCGGTCCCTTTGCTGTGAGCACTCCTGAAGGCCCACCTTCCTCCCCCGCTGTCTGACCCTCATTACCACAACACAAACCCAAAAATCCTGTTTGAGCTCCGAAAGAGTGCTTAACAAACACAGAAGCACCAGGGATGCTTTGGGAAACTGTTTCCAGAACAGCACTGCCGGGTGAGGCCCTCCTAGTCCTGCATTTAGAAACAAAAACTAAACCAAAAACAGCAGGGGTTCGGAAGCCCAGGGCCCCACAGCGCACCTCATCCTGCCAGCCCGTGGGCTGAGGCAGAATCCAGCTGCCTGCGCTCCAAGTTCTGCACGAGGAATTCTCACGTTAAAATCAACAAAGCTTTACCCTAGGGACACCGAGCAAAAACCGGGACTTCATTTTTTAAGCCTTCGCCTGCCAAACCGCCGAACAGCACCACAGCACTACCCTCAGAAGCAGCTTCCCCCAACGCCGTGCCGTCCAGCACCCGGCCGCCTCCGTCCCTCCGAGGGCCCGTAGGCTCAAGCGGCCGAAATTCGGGGCTCGCGACCCCGTGTGAGGGTGGAAGCGGCTCCGCGCCCGGTGAGGGGCGGCTGCAGAGCGGCCCGGCCAAGCGGGGCTCCCGAGGCTTGGGGCACGCGCCGGCAACAGGTGCGCGGCGGGACGGAGCGGCTCGGGGCGGCCGGGCCCGCGCTGAGTGACGCGCGAAGCTGTGGGAGAAGAACGGCCGAGGAAAGGAGACGGCAGCGAGGCGAAGGAGAGCGGGCTGCGCGAGAGAGAAGAGAGCGGGGCGAGGGCGGTTAGTGCGGGGGAGAGGCGCCGGCGAGGAGGGGGCGCGGAGCCGTCCCGGGACGGAGCCGAGCGGTCAGACCTGAACGCTTGGTGCGAGCCCGCAGCTCCAGCATCTTCCAGCTGACGTCGGCCATATGGGCCGCCGCCGCGGCCACCGCCGCCATCCCGACGAGCCGCCTCCGCTCCCGCCGCTCCGCTCAAACCGGGACGCCACCGTCCCCTCAGCGCCGCGGCGGCGATCTCCGCCCGGTTACCACTACCAGCCGTAAGCCCCGTCGCGGCGCCGTCGCAAAGCCGCCGGGTCAGCGGCGCCGGGCACGCCCCGAGCTGCCGTAAAGTGTGGCGGGCGGAGCGGCGGGAGCCGGAGCGGCGCGGCGCAGCATGGCGGGGTGCCGCCTCGCGCCGGGGCTGGCGCTGCTGGCGCTGCTCGCCCTGGCGGGGCGCGGCGCCGCGCTGCAGAACGTCACGGCGCAGCTGTTCGGCGCCGAGGCCTACGGCACGCCGGCGGCCTTCGGAGACTTCAACTCGGACAAGCAGACGGACCTGTTCGTGCTGCGCGGCGGTGAGCGCGAGGCGGGGCCGGGCCGGAGTGGGGCCGTGCCTGGTGCGGGGCTACGCGCTCCCGCTGCGGGTCGGGCCGTGTGAGCGCCGGGCTGTGCCTGGCAGCTGCTGTCCGTGCCCGCGTCGTCGCTGGGGTCGCGCTGGAGAGAGAGCGGTGAATAGGGAATGCTTCTCCAGGGTAACGCTGTTGGTTGTGTTACCTCCGAGGTGCTTCCGGTGTGGTAAATGGTGTTTGCGATACGGCACGGCTGCGGTTAGAAGTTGGCCTTAAAACTGGGGTAAAGCCCTCATCCTACGGAGGTGATGGCCGCAGTGTGAGATTTGTTCCTACGGCCTGTTTTCTCGTGCTGTCGTGATGTTTTGGGATGCAGAGGTACAGAACGCTTCACTCTTGAACGTAGGACGGTCACACGTCAGCTTGCTTTGAGTGCAGTTGTGGTGCTGGGCCGAGTGAAGACTCATGTAGAAATAAGGCTGTCGGCTCCCTCGGTCCGTGCCCAGCTGAAGGGAGGGCCCAAATCACTGCACACCTGTGATCAGCGCTGCCTGGAAACACTCAGGCAGGTGGGAAAGCCCACACCTGTTATTTGTTTAATCTACCTTCCGCTTATGTTTGATGCCTCTGCCAATGCAGGGCAATGTAGAGTTGTTCCCTTGGTACATTTCAGTGGAGAGTTTTGGAAACTTCACTGGTATCCTTGCTCAGATTTTCAGATAGTGAATTTCACAGCTGCTTAGTTGTTGTTTTTCCTTTAACCTCTTGTATACGCTTTCTCCTTTCTTCTGTACTCTTTGAGGACAAGCAGTCAACACCAAGGATGTGTGGGCCGCAGGTTGATGTAGAGGTATCTCAATTATAGGTTGTCCTCTGATAATTCCCAGTAGTCTGTTTGTTTTCACTGCTAATGAACACTGAGCCAAACTTTAGATAAATCTGTTCTTAGTGGCTGTAAAAAGTCATTTAGCAAAGCGTAATTAACTTGGAACATAATGTGTGTAAAGATGCATCTGCTTCAGTGCTGTTATTTTACCACCTACATGAGAAAAGTCCATGGTGTGTGAATGGGAACTGTTAAGTTGTGGTCTGAACCAGTGACTGAGCACCTGGTGAAGGGCTGTAGCCAGCCCTGGAGCACAGGTGGAAGCAATTCACCTGTGCAACTGGAAGTGATGGACTCAGTCTCCACCCCTCACTAATCTTGTTTAAGAGCTGGCTGTCACAAGGGACGCATCTCCACTTAGAGATTATCTCTTCTAGAGTGTGTAGTGAGCCCTGACCCTTAGAAAGGTGTGAGCGATTTCTTCTTTATTACTGGATTGTGACCTTTGCTTTTCTTGAGTGATCCATAACTGGTTTAAAGCAGCTGTATCTGCTATTCCTATTGTTACAGCATGAAATGAATATTAGGAGTTTCAGCAGTTGACCTGCATCTTTATTATCAGACACTCCACTAGCCAGCAGGCTTCTTTCTCTCGTGTGCCAGCCTCATTCATCTGTGAATGTATCATGCAACCCTGGCTGTATTAGCTTGCCAGATGGGACTGTGCTGGTTGCCTCTATTTGGAAGGGGTTTGTTTTCATTTACTCATTTGTTGGCATCTTCTCCTTTGCAAACACATTTATGGCAGCTATCCTTTTGTTTCATACCTAGGAAGTTTTTATTCTGCCCTTTCACAGCTTTGATCTTTGCTGCTGAATTATGCCCTTGAAATATGCTCTAGTAGTTCCAGTTTAGAGCTATAGGATTATTTTCGTGTAGGTATCCTAGTTCTTATATGTTGGGATGCTACAGGTGAGCTTATTAGAGAATTAAGGAATTAAATATAATAAAAGATGAGTAAGGACATTGTGTTTTTTTTCTTTTAATTCTGAGCTGTGATTTTATACTTGTAAAAGTATAAGGACTGCTTACAAAGTAATGTCTCCAAGTTTAATGTGTCAGCCCACAATGTCGGAGGTGGATGTGGTTGGTGTGGCAGTAGATGTAATGGGGTATTGGCAGGAGGACTTAACGTTTTGTTGCTGTGTAACAGATGGCAGCAGAAGGGCAATCTAACAGAATGCCATCTGACATTGAAGTGCAGTTGAAGCAACTGAAAGTCTGTGGCTTGTGTTATTGCAAATGAAGTTCTGCTGGGGGTCAGGTTACTTCTCTGGGTTTCTTAACCTGCTTTTGTGGGGAGAGTAGGCAAAAAATCCTGCTGTGTCAGAGACAATGTTACAATAATTCGTTCAAGTTTATTTTTTTGTATATAACTGATGCCTAATATTTTTCCTCAGGTAGTATTTGCTAATTCAGTATAGGAAGTTTAAAACAATATGATAGCAGTAGCAAAGAGAAAGGTTTAATGCCAAGCCCCAAAGGACAGTCTTGAATTAGCATTCCTCTGATGCTAGTAAATGATGTCAATGATACAATTAAGTTTTTAGTATTATACTGAAGAAGTATTTCTTTTGCTTCCTTTCTAATGAGGAAGAAGTGGTTGTATTTTTGATTCTGTGAGGAATTCCATTTGTAGAGTAACTCCTTAAGCATTGTTTTTTATATAAGCCATTTATGATCCTTATCTATGAAGTTTATACGTTGCCTTATTTGCTTTGCAGGAAATGAATTGATTATCTTTTTGGCAGACCAAAAGGAACCTTACTTTAAGCCCCGTGTTAAGTTACCGATGAAGTAAGTGTTGGTATTGAATGGTGAAACAATTCACCATTCAGTCTATTTTTTTTTTTTTTCCTTTTTAAGGGGAGGGATGGGAAGTGCATCTTCACAGTCAGTCAGGACTAGAACCTTTGTGGTTCGGCTTGTGCTTAGGTGAGCTCTTTGAGCAAGAGGTTTTTTCAGTAATTTCTGGTACCCTTTTGTTTTCCTTTTTTAATTTTGTGGTTCATGTGGCATAAAATCTGGAAACAAGTTTTGTCATGCATGTAACTAAGTAGTAGATGTGAGTTCCCACCCCCTTACACAATTTGTGTGCTTTGATTTTGCTTTGTATTTGTATTTGGTTTTTATGTACACATTAGTCCTATTATTTGCATTTGAGGCCTTTTAAAATTTGTTTTTAATTCTAGATCTCTAGGTGTTATCATAACCAGTGTAGTTCCAGGAGACTATGATGGTGACTCACAAATGGATGTCCTCCTGACTACCCGCACACAAAATCATGGCAAAGATGAACTTTCAGTGTTCATTTTCTGGGGACACAACCAAACATTAGGTGAGTCCTGAGACTTATTAACAACATTTTTGGATTTCTTAATAACTCCAAGTATTTTCAGAAAGTTGTGCCATGTTACATTTATGCTTAAAGTAATGATTAGCAGCTGTGTAGCTTCATACCCATGTAGTATTTTGCTATTAAACACTATTTAGTAATTAATGTAAGAAAACAAAACTATGATAAGAAAACAATGCTTTTATATCATGCAACATGTATAACCAAACAATATTACAGATTGATAGTAACTGACTATCTAAAGGATGACTTGTTGCAGCTTCCCCATTACACATGTCAGTTTCACAAGGATTATCCCTAAAGACTACCATATTTGATTATAGAATGTGCTAAGAACTTAGTGTACACTTGAGAGCTTAAATTTTCAAAATGTCATACCTAAACTGACCCACATTAATATAACTCTCATATTGCTGTTAAAACCAGATTCGTTAAAGACAGATTGACTCTGAAATAGGTTTTGGGGAAGAAGTTGTGAAGTCTCTGTCACTGGAAGCTTTCAAGAACCTTAGACAGTCATCTTTCAGCTGTGTTCTAGGTATCTAGCAGTGGTCTGATTGTATTTTAGAGTCATAGACTATGTGACTACTTGAAGTCTTTATTTTCTGTTGAGCTTGCTAGAAAAGCTGTTTGGGAAGAGTTTACACTTGAAAGAAGGACCGAAAAGCCACAGAAAATCATCTTAAGTGTACAAAACATATTGGAAAATACTATTATGAACAATTACATTATAAAATAGTCATGGATGATGCAAATGATGGGTGGCATTAGAGGCTGTTGGTTCTGGCTTTATCCAGAGAAGCATTGAGCAGCGCAGGAAACTGCACTGGATCGAGTGTTGAGAGAAGAATGTAGTTGTAGTGTTAGGAAGAATGTGAAGGATTTAGGTGAACTTGTGCTGTCTTGTGACTAAACAAACTCTGGGAGAGGCACAAGTGGAGCTTAGAAAGGAGTCAGAGGCTGCTATGCAGTGAGGCTACTGGAAAGGTGTACTGGTGCTTACCTGAATAATGGAAGTATGACAAATCAAGAGCAGGATAATGTGGAGACTGGAGTTAAGACAAAAAGTACAGGGAGACAGGGGAACTGGAATGATGTGGCAAAGAGCTGGGATTAGAAGTGAAAGTCAAGTCTTAGAGGTGATTAAGACTTAAAATCCTCATTTCCCATTTAAACCGTCTAGCTCTAATGTTAATTTCAGATGTGCGGTGGATCTTGTTAGCAATGTGTTTTATAGTAATAAAATGTTAAGCAGAAGTCCTGTGTGCAGTGATAAATTTGGAGTATCTTCATCCCAGCTAGTTCAGATTTCATATGAGAATGGTTTTTCATGAAATAAATTTCATTGAGATCTGTTTGTTTATTGAAAGTTTCAGTGTGGAGAGAAGCAGCTTCAGCATTTGAGCTAGTACTTACCTGTCCAAAATTAAAAGCTTAAATTTATCTTTTATCTCCGGGAGCATTTTGTTTTGTATCTTATATATTTTTTTCTTATCAAAAAGTTAATAACTCTAATAGAAAAAGGATTATATTTGCTAAATGTTACTGCCATAACGTATCCGTAACTTAATAGAATGAATATTTCCTGTTTTCAGATCTTAACCATAAAACTATGATAAATAAGACTTTTCATGATGAGCCTCTAGTAATGGAGTAAGTATCACCTACCTTTTAATTAAAATGTTTTGTACTAATGACTAATAGCAACTTAATAGGTATGTTTTAACACTAAAATTTAAAAGCTGCTCTTCTCAAGAAGAGGATGGCTTGTCGTTTGTCAAGTGACCTAATAAAAGATGACAAAACAGATATGTAAAAATGGTTGATATAATATATGTGTGTATATAAATACATATCAGCCTGGCCACAGCAATTAAATAAACTTTGATATTTCTTAATTTCAGTGCTCAGTGTTGTATGCAAAAAAAAAAAAAAAAAAAAAAAAAAGACATTTATTTGTAGTGAATTTCAAAGGAAAAAACCACAACCACCTTACTGGCTTATCCCAGTGTGAAAATATTTGTTCCTCAGCTTGAATAAAGAATATGTGGAAAATCTAGCAGGAGGGTCAGGCAGCAGGTACTTATTGGGGAGAAGCAAGTTTCTGCTCTTTCTGTACTTCTACATCTTGTAAGCAATGTATATTTGTATATTGTATTTTCGGTTTATATTGATGCCTTATTTACAATGTCAAATAAGATGCATTTAGTTGGTTATGCTGCTGAGACCTGAGATCATCTTCCAGTGGCAATGAAATTCAAACCTTGTTCACGAAACTCCTGTTCGTGTGAGTGTATAGTTATACAAGAACTATATATGTATCTGGAAATTGGAGAATCCTTGTTTTGGGAAGAGTGGCATGGGTAAGAGACTTGAGTGAGAAGTTTTTGATCAGTTCTGCCTTCTTATATTTGAAGAAGTTTTTAAGGAAAATAACTAGAAATATTTTTTTCTTGTTAAGTAACATGAAGTGACTTATACAACTAGGAAGTCAAATGCATGGCATGGTTTAAAGTACTCAGTGGCCTTTGCATTACTGCTGGCAGCTCAGAGAAGAGCCTCCACAGCTGAAAATTATTAACTGCCTGTTGGGAAAATGCTAAGTAAATACAGGATAGTAAAGAATGGTCAGTTTTCACTCCTGGAATGAGTTAAAGTAATACTGACGCTGTTTTTCACTTTCAGCTTTAACGGTGATTTGATTCCTGATGTCTTTGGTGTCACAGGTGATTCAGATAAGCCACAGATACTGATAGGCGGGTAAGCTAAGTGTTTATTAGTGTGAATTTCAGTAACTTGTGAGTCCTCTTCTATTTAGAGACACAAGACTGGAGCTGTGTGCACTCGAGTCTTCTTTCCACGTGTATATATGAACATTTTATTACAGCACCTAATTGTGTTAGGCTATTTATTAAGAAAACATTTGGTATGCTTCATGGGTTTCTTAAAAAGATTTTTGCAAAAGGCAGTAACGATACAAGATTGCATGCCAGTGATGTTCTCTGTATTGCATTTTCTGCTTTAAGGAGTACTTAAGGCCATTTTGCAGCACTCAAGTGTTGTCAGGAGTTTTGTGTGATGGAGTTGCAGTGGAAGGAGCTAAGTTTTTGATTGAAGTTTCTGCTAGCCCTGGGATTTCTAGTATGGGACTAGCTAGCAGCTGCTGGGATAAAAAGAGGTTTAATGGGGAATCTCAACGACTGGTAAGGAATATGAAAAAGAGTATTTTTAACTCTTAAGAATGCTCTAAGATTTAACAATTTTGCTGTTAATCTCTAAAATTAAACAATAACATTTGACAATGAATTACTGGGGGGGAAAAATCCAGGACTATGCTTGTTTATTCTTACAGGGTTGGACCTTCAAAGATTTTAATCCTAGCTTGATATTTTGCAGCTTTTAAGTGGAACTGGATAATGTCTTGAATGCTGTTTAGTAATGCTAACATAGAAACTTGCAGCTCCCTGTGTTGCATAAGAAATGCAGGTGTTGATGTAGCCACTCATTCAAGTTCCTGTACAATCAATATTAGTTTGTTCTAAAAGAAAGCGTTAGGAATTCTTTGTGTTCCCATGTGGTTTTCTTGAGCTATTGTTTTAAGAGGTCTGTTAACACAGGAGAAAGCAATCAGATGATTGCTCTGTCTCTATGGCAACTATACATCAGCTTCTATTGTGCATTTCCATGGCCCCTAAGAAATGTTTTTGGTTTATTTTCCACCATCATCAAGTATTACCTTGCCAAGTGTATTTAACAAGTCTATACCTGTTGCTGATTACTGGTGATTTTCATTTCCTTAGAAGTGATTTGGAAGTAACGTAAGGCAAGTAGCATTTAAATTGTAGTTGAAAACTATATACCCTTCTTGGCAATGTGGTTTTTGTTCATTAATCCTAAGTTGAATTTCATTGTGTTTTTTTTAGCAGATGGCTCATGGAACAGAACTTTCACTTTTATGACACCTTCTGAAAATAACAGTAGATATTGAAAAATTCAAGTTTTGGAAGAAAGGAAAATAGGGGTCATGTTTCTTTTTTTTTTATTTTTTTTTTGAAATCTTTTTACTAGTAAATTGATAGAAATGAGCTGACTGAGGTCAAAATAAAACTGAGCTGTACGTAACTACATGTCTTACATGGGGGAAAAAGCTTTATTTCATTGCTCAGAAAAACATTTTTCCACATCAAATTTAAAAACATTTTAAATTATAGTAGAGCTGCTTAACTTTCTTGGCTTACTAACTTCAAAAACAAGTACCTCAGAAGAACTAGAAAATACTTCATTATTTCTGTAAGGGGGCAGGAGATGGTTTTAGTTTGATTGTGCTTTTCTTTGTTATTTTTCTAGTTTATTTTTTATTCTAAACTTTCAGGAAAAGACAAGAAATTGTATCACCTCCTTGGGAAATGACATCATTAGCATATAGTCTATCCTGTGTGGCAGGCATGAGCTTATTTCAGCAGCATGTGATTGTGTCCATTTCTTTCATCTGTTGGTTCAAAGGACATTTCTTAAGTACTAATAGTAAAACTGCAGGAGGAAAAGGGAAGGGGAATGAAGTTTTTCAGGATTTCTAGTGGTGGAATCCAGGCTGTTTCACTTTGTGCATAATGATGCTTTTCTGTACGAATGAACTTATTTTAGAAAGTTAGTATAATCCAACTGAAGCCTTTCCTCTGTGGATCATCTTTTAGAAAACATTTCAAGCAGTTACTTACTACTCATTTAGTGTATTGTAAGCTAAGTTGTAATGTTCATTTAATGGTAAAAGAACGCAATTGATGTTCAGTTTTGTTGTGTTTGTTGTTTTTTTTTTAAAGGTGTATTTATCATGGTTAAGTCTGTCAGCACTGCTGAAATGCGCTGCTTTTCCTTCTTGCCTTGTAGGAACTTATCGCGGCACGCTGCACTGGACACCCAGAGTAGAATGTATGTGCCACACTCTCATGCGTTTATAGACTTAAATAATGACTTCACAGCTGGTAAGTCATAAAAGTGCTAAATACTTTCCTAAGATTATTTATCACTTTAATTTGTTAAGTTATTGAATTATTAATATACAGGTTAAATATTAATTTATAAATTATTAACTTATTTATCACAGTATTATATATTGTATGTATCTTTCTAACATTTGGGGCGTTTTCATTGACAGTTGTTCTAGAATGCTCTGTGCAGTAACTATGACCTTGCTATTTGTGATTTTTAATCAATACCTACACTTCAAATAATGTTGTTTTTTAAATAAAAAATACCAGAATGAATAATTTTCTGTTTTATAATTTAATGAATAATAATGCTTGTTCTCAATAATTGTTTGCCATCAGAACATCTTCCTCTTAGAGATGTTTCTCTGCTATTCAGAGTTTGCAACTCTGTCACTGCTTACTGCACTTCCTCCTTTTTCATTTTGAAAGTAGTTCATTCAGAGACGTGTTTTCAACACTGGACTTAACTCATGATTTCTTTCTTAGAGAGGTCAATGTGATTTCGTTCTGTTTTGCTATAGTTTATTCTAGCACTGAGAAAACCACATGTGAGACTTATTCTATTACAACCTGAACATTCCTATAAGCTATTTATAACTCAGTATACACAAAAAATACTGGAGACGATTTTGTTGTGGTAGATAAAAAAAATGTATTCTTGTTTTGTGGTGATTGACGGTTTGATGGTGATTTTGTTTTGTTTAATGTTCGTTTAGGTCAAATATGTAATGCATCTTAGCCTTCAATTAACAGATCTATTTATCACTTCTGTGGTTCATATCTCAAAGCATATTTAAACACCTTGATAAACTTCATTTACTTTCTTAAAACACTAAATGGGTTTTGAACTGCTTTCTCTTTTGTTAGTTGTGCTTTATAGATCAATTCACGTATGGTAGTTTGGGTAGGAGAGATGATTTTTTTTTCCCCTTTTTAGTATTATGGGAGTGAGAGAGGAAAGAATTCATAAACTTAATTAATATGCTTTTCATTTTTAGGGATTAAGTTAATTACTTCAGTGCTTAGTCAAACTGTAATACTCATTTCTGGCACACTGCTGCATGAAGCTGTCAAGTGGAAATTCCAACTGGAAAATTAGGTATATGGTTGCTTACTGTAATCAGTGTCATGTCAATAACCAGTGCTAAGGCACTTAGCTATATACACCCTTTGGAATTTTGTCTGGGCAGCGAAGAGGTTCATTCCAAGTAATTTTTTAAAGATGAGTATGTGGGCATATAAGTTCACAGGTACATAAAGGTAGGAACTCCTAAGTTATTCCTATGGATCAGTCACAGTTAGAAGAGTTTTGGCAAGTGTACTCAGAGCTATCTATGACAGCCAAGTTAGCCTACAAAATGTCAAGAAAGTTCCAGTTAGTGCTGATGATACATGGAAAATTTATCCATTCAATACAAATAGATGGCAGTATCTGTATGGGGAGTACTGGGAGCTGTTATTTTCGTATCTGGATATGTGAATAGAAGCTTCTGGGAAATCTCCCCACTCAAAGACACAGATTTTTCTTTCCTTCTAGCAGCACAAATACAAATCCTCAGGCTGGAATCTATGGACCAAAACAGCCTGTAAACTGTTGACAGTTATGTTAGAGCAATCTAAGGAAAACTTTAAGAAAAATAATTCATTCTGAGAAAAAAATATGGAAAAAATATTGCTATTAAATTATTTTCTTTGAAGTAACTGTTTGTTAGTAATATGGGAAGCTGCTTTCGCTAGCCCTATGAAAGCTAGATCAGCAGTCAGCAAAGCATACGTTGCAGAAAAATAATACTTTATCAGTGATATTTGATATTTCATGGCTGACGTGTTATTGCAGGACTGCCTGCTGCCAAAACAAAAAGCTGCCTGGTCCTGACTGTACATTTATGGCAGTTTGCTCTCATCTGCTCTAGTAACTGTATGAGGGAGAGGGTGTGGAACATGATTCATTTTCACTTGAGTTATTAAGTTGATGCAAGTTATCACGGAGCTTCAGGGTTACCAGAGCTAGTGTAAGCACAGAGAGAAAATAGACTCCTCTTTCTAGTAGCAGCAGATGTACATAGTTTGCCTATAGTCAAGCATGGAATTGCACCTCAAGACTCATTGTTCCTCTTTAAAAAAAAAAAAATATACTTGTTTAGTATCCTCACAGTGTCATCTTTAATTTGTGCTAGGCTGTAGAGAGTTTGGCAGATGACTCATGGAAGTAATGATGAAAGTAGTTCAGCTCTGATGTGGTTTTGTTTACTTTTTGTTTTGCGTTTAGTTAAAAACAAACAAACAAAACAACCACCAACCCATATGTAACTGCATACCTGGTACTGGCAATACTGGGATTCCAAATGCCTTCTGCCAAACAGTGCCAAAATAATGTGCTGATAGTGCTGAAGTGTGCACACAACCACCCTGTGCCCCTGCGCAGTGAGGGTAGACTTCACAGGGCAGTTCCTTGTTTCTCCTATTTGTTTAGCTCTGTCAGCGTAGCTGGGGCAGCACAGCCTTACGGCACCAGGCAACATTCTTGCTGTGTTATTTCTCAGTGCAATCTGTTATTTGTTGGTTGATCGAGGTAGAGCTAGTGAAAATGAGAGAATTCTTGTAATTATCATAACATGCACTGCCATTCTTGATTAGGAACAAAATTTGTTAAGGATAGGTTTTGGTCCATGTTAAAATCCTATTAATTACAAGGGAGGAATTGATGAGGATGCAGAAGTTTAGTCTGCATGCTGAAGTCCAAAAGACTTAATACTATTACAGCATTCAGTACTGCTGTGGTGCTTTTTAACTGAAAAAATCAAGTCTTTACTTGTGACAGTGCCACTGTTTATGATTATGAAGATAAAAGCCATTCAGAATGCCCAGTGTTCACTATTTATTTTTTAAGACATTTTTCTAATGTTCTGAAATGTTTTGGGGGCTTTGTATTGTACAACAGATGCAGCCAATTCAGTGGTTTTCATGCTAGGCTATTTTTGGTAACTTCATTACTATAAAAAGCTTAGGAGATTTAAAGCGTGCTTTATGTTAAAAATAATAGTAATAATAAAATCAAAAATCCTCTCTGAGCTGAGAATCCTTTCTGCTATTTTATTGTCTAATCCATTTTCAACCTGCCAAGATATAAACACTCAAAACAGATTTTAATTGGCACATTTCTCCTGCTCTGGGTGAAACAAAGTCAAATCGTTCTGATTTCATTATATGAGAGCATGTTCATGAAGATGTTTTTAATCCCTAACAATGCTTCATGAAAGGCTAACTTTGTAAGGATTTTACAAATCCAAAAATCCACTAACCAGAACAAAGATAATGCTAATCTTTCTTGGTGAGATTTAAACTATGTTGTTTCAGATAGTAATGCTGCTGCTGTTTTTCAATTAAACCATCATTGTTCTATTTTTATAATTTTTAATTCAGTAAGTAAATTTAACTTGGGCTAGGAATATTAAATAATCCATGTAGAAATATGCAGTATAATTTTTTTTCCCGAAGGGTTTGTTTGTGCTTTGTGGATAAGAAAAAGATACAAATTTTTTAAGCATCCTCTTCATGCGTACTAAGTGTGTGCTTCTCCAGGGAAGAGTATCTAGTTCACAGAATGGCTGCATTTGGACAGGGTGTCTGAATCACACAGAATCACAGAAACAACAAGGTTGGAAAAGACCTACAAGATCATCCAGTCCAACCATCCTTCTGTCAACAATAGTTTTCACTAAACCATAGCCCTCAACACAGAATCTGGAGACTGGAGACTGTCTAGTTCAACCTGCCCAACGCAGGATTAGAGCAGGTTGTTTGGGGTTATGTCCAGTTGTCTTTTGAATGTCTCCAAGGACAGAAGCTCTGCAACCTCCCTGGGCAATGTTTTCTAGCGTTTAACTACTCTGACAACAGAAGAAGAGTTACATTTAAGTAGAAGTAGTTTGAAATAGTTAAGTGGAATTTCTTGTATTTCAGTTTGTACCTATTGTCTTTCATTCTGTTAACTAGGTGCCAACCAGAGAAGAATCTGGCTTTGCCAGACCTTGTCTCTACGTATGCACATATGTTATCAAAAAGCAATTTAATTTTAAATATTGTATCTTAATGTTTTTAAAACAGTACAAGAAGTTGTATAGTATATAATGTAGTGCTCATTTTCAACTCATAGTTACACTTCATAATACCTCAACCTTAATAAAGTCACGCGCTTCAATAGTGCAGTGTGCCTTACTGAAGTGGTACAAAAGAAATGTATGGCCTTTGAAAAATGTTCTACTTGTTTAAAAACAACACTGAAATTAACATTGAACTTGAGATAAGAATAGTGAAAATTTGTGCCCTTTGCTCGGTTTATCAGTATGTGCATTTCAGTGATGTAGCTGAATCTTTCTTCAGCAGTTCATTAAAGAGTTTCATAATTTAGTGAAAAAATAAAATGTAACTGGGTAAAAAACACTAATTTAACTGTGCATCCACATACAAAGTTTGATCATTTTTCAAGAATGAAAGTATATTTCGAAGTGTGATGGTGGTGTTTTTCACCTCGGAATTTAAATTTCAAGGTCTTAATGACTTCAGTGTAGAGCAAATGATAAGTACATGTAATTGCAGGGTTTTATGGTTCTAGACATATGAGACACTGGCTGTATTTTAAAATGTTGTATTCATTTGCTTTTTCCCAGCTTTATTGCAGAACCCATTTTTTATTTGTGAAGGATCTGAACTTTCAGCCCAGACATTTGAGGTCAAATTGCATCTTACATCTATGTCATATTTTCCACATGCCCTGAAATAGACTGAAAGATGAGAAAAATGTGGTGACCTTTGTTAGAATGGGGTTACTGGGTGTCTAGGAGTACATAATCACAGTTATTAGCTAGTTTAAGAACATAATCTTGAAGTTAATAACAATAGGCTTGTCTGGACAGATTAAGGTGTGTTTTATAGAGCAGGACTGCGTAAATGAGCATTTGCAAAGGACACTCCATGAGTAAGAGACCTGTCTT